CATTCTTTCTGGAGTGAGGTGGAATCTCAGCATTGTTTTCATTTGCATCTCTTGAATGACCAGTGATGTTGAACATTTTTTCATGTGTTTATTTGAAGGGCGGGGGATTTAGCTCAGTGGTTCTGGTGCCTGCCTTGCAAGAGCAAGGTCCCGAGTTCAATCCCCAGTACCAAAACACACACACACACACACACACACACACACAAGAAAGCAAGAAAAATAAAAAATAAGAGGCCAGGCCTCAAACTCACAGTGATCCTCCTGACTCAGCTTCCAAGAGGGCTGGGATTACAGGTGTGTGCCAGCACACTCAACCCTTGTCCATTCTTTTTAAAATTAATTTTATTGGTACATTTTAGTTATACACAATGATAATCACCATAGGGAATTTGTACCTGCACATGATATATCTTACTTCTTTTTTTTCCCCATTCCCCTCTCTTCAACCCCTTTTCCCCTCTTTATTTACAAAAGCTTTGTTTCCATTTTTTCCTTCTGCCTCCCCCACCCACTTTTAAGACCTCACAACTTTAGCCTCTGGACTCAGCCCCTTTCCTGAGATTTGGGCCGAGATGGCAAACTGGATCTAGGCCATGTTGTTGTGGAAGCTCAAACCCAGCATTGCACTGAGCTCATCTCCCAGCCTTCCCCAGATGTGTTCCCTCAGTGTCCCCATCCCCATAAACAGCACTGCCAAAGCGTCAGGTGATCAAGTCAGAGACAGGGAGATGGGGCTGAGGATGTAGTCAGTGGCAGAGCACTTGCCTAGCATGAGTGAGGCACTGGGTTCTATCCCCAGCACCCCAGAAAGAAGGAAGGGACAAAAGGAAGAAGGAAAGAAAGAAAAAACCTTGAAGGCCCCTTTAAGGCCTCCCTCTCATTTTCCATATTCATTAGAAAGTACTCTTCACTCTATCTACAAAATATATCCTTTCCTCAGCTCTACTGCTACTGTTTTGGTCTAAAACATCATCAGCTGGGCATGATGGTGCATGCCTGTAATCCCGGGAGAATTGCTGCAAGTTTGGACTACATAGTGAGACCCTGTCTCAAAAAAAAAGGACCAAAAACTAAACAAACAAAAAAACCTATCATCTCTTGCCTGATCCATTGCAATTTTTTTTTTTGCTTTTGTTTTGAGCTACTAGAAATTGAACACAGGACCTTCACACTGAGTTATGTCCCTAGATCCTTTTTTATTCTGAGACAGGGTCTCACTAAATTGCTAAGTCACCCAGGCTGGGCTCAAACTTGCAGTCCTCTTGCCTCAACCTCCCAGAGTACTGGGTTTGCAGGCATGCACCACCATGTCCAGCTGCAATAACTTACTTTCTTTCTTTCTCTTTTTTTAAGTTTTTTGAGACGGGGTCCCTCTCTGTAGCCCAGGCTGGCCTCAAACTTGTGGCAGTGCTCCTGCCTCAGCCTCTCAAGTGCTGGGTCTGCAGACATGCACCACCATGCCCAGCTGAAATAACTTCTTGACTTGTCTTCCAGCATCTATTTGTGCCTGACCCCCACTGCCTAACTTCTACCCAGAAACCAGATTGATCTTTCAGAAATACCAAGGTGATTGAGTATGGCCCTGTCTAAACCTTTCAAAGCCTCACTTCAAGATCAAGCCCTGCCCCTCACCATGGCGTGGAAGGCCCCTGACTAGCTCTCACACTTCGCATTTCACTTTTCCACGGTCCTTACATGCATGCATACTTTCTTCTCAAACAGAGCCATATCCAGCTACTCGGATTGGCCTCAAGGCTTTCTTACAGTTTCCTCTATCTGAATGCTCTTTCCTGGCCCTGGGATTTAGCTCAGTGGTTTCACTGCCTGCTGTGCAAGCGCAAGGACCTGAGTTCGATCCCCCGTATCAGAAAAAAAAAAGAGAGAGTGAATGCTCTTTCCTTCCTATTCTCTTCACCATCTCCAGTTCACTCTTCTTTCCCCAGCTCAGTGCTTCCTTCCTCTGGGAACCTTTCCCGGTCCTTCCCAACACTCATCCTGCCTTTATCATTGAGTTTGTTCCTTGGAGTGTAGCTGCCTGGTAACCTCTCTGGCTGCCCATGATCTTGTGAGCTCTGTGATGGACATGTCTTTTTCACAATTGTAGCCTCACTGAGCTTAGCACAGGGCATAAATATAGTAGCTAATCAGTAAATTTTGTTGGATGGATGGACAGATGGATAAATAGTCAATTTACTAATCCAGGCAGGCAGAGTGGAGCATGCCTGTAATCCCAGCATTTGGGAGGCTAAGGCAGGAGGATCACTACAAATTTGAGGCTGGCCTGGGCTACATAGGGAGTTCAAGGCCAGCCTGTACTACAAAAAATTTACTAATCCAGAAGGGTAGCAATGGGCACCATGCTAGAGCCAGAACGAGGCCATGGGTGGGATTGATACACCCAAAGCCATAATGGTGACCAGGAACCAAGAAAGGGGAAGGGCCAGGCATGCCTATACTACCCACTCTTGGCAGTATTACCCCTGCCTCCCTCTTTATGTATTTTTTTGGAGGGGAGTTAATGAGGATTGAACTGGGGCCTTGATACTGAGCTACATCCCCAGGCCTTTTTTATTTTTGACACAGGGTCTTACTAAATCACTAAGTTGGCCAGACTGGGCTCAGATGTGTGATCCTCCTGCCTCAGCCTCCCAGAGTGCTGGGTTTACACATTTGTGCTACCACGTGCAGCTTCCTGTCTCCCTCTTACACCTGCCTTGGCATGGACCTGGAAGCACAGAGAAGTCTGAGTTACACACAAGAATACCCCTCTTCTATTCCCTTCCCAAGTCTTATACTGGTACAAAGCCACTCATGGTTGTCTACAATATTGATGGGTCCAGCCAGTGCCTAGTGCTGGACTTACTAGATGCCCTGTGTATCCTTGTTCCCAGGTCAAAGACAGTTCTTGGGGCTCCCATGAGATGGTACAGTACTTAGCTTCTGCACTCTCCTCCTGCAGCAGCAGAGAAACATTCCCTATACACTGTGGGTACCTTTCCCAAAAGCTGGAACCCAGGCTTCTTGCCCCCCCCCCCAAGAGTCCAAGCAAGCACCTAATCTTGATGTTTGCAGTCCTTTTTTCTTCTGCACTGGCACTAAAAGAGACAGACAGTAAAAACTACAAGCTGTTAGGGCTGATTGGGGGAGGTAGAGGGAATGAGGGTTAAGTTTTTCTGCAGCCCTTCAAAGGCCTTGGCCTCCTGCCTAGATCGGATTCAGGAACTCTGTGTCCCAGAGAACTAGCCTGGTAGCCATCTGCTCTGAGCATAAAGAGCCTAGGGACCCTCATGAGATGCTTTGTTAAAATTCATCAAGAAGGGCAGGATGGCTGGGCATAGTGGCACACACTAATTTCAGCTGCTGTGGAGGCTGAGGCAGAAAGATCACAAGTTCCAGCCCAGCTTGGGCAATTTAGCATTTTCGCAAGACTAAAAAATGGGCTGGGGGTATAGATATAGCTCAGTGTGAAGGCCTTGGATTTGATCCTTGGTACCACTAAATAGGGCTAGGGATGTAGCTCAGCATTCCCTGGATTCAATCCCCCATATGGCAAAACAAATAAAACAAAGTGAAGAAGAAAAGGGGCAAGGAGGGGGAGGAAGAAGAGGACAGGGTGAGAGCAACACACCTGGGGACTTTGGCCAGTCTAGGCCTCTGA